TCCTAAAATCTCTCAAACCAAAGACTTGAGAGATTTTAGGAGTGAAGATTAAATATAAACTGAGGATGAGTCGGGAACAGGCCCAGCTCCAAGAAGAATGCTGCTCATTCACAGCCAGGTAAGAAGCAACATGCTTATCAATGTGATTTTAAAGTATAGTATTCGCTAGTTAATGTTGGGGAGAAAACTCTTCTTTTACAGAAATACTTGAGCTTAGCGGCGAAAGGGCAGAAAGATGGCGGAGGTCCAGGTGCAGAGTGAAAGACAAGAGCGGAGCAGGAGAGGCAGCGGAGGCGGGGAGCTTGGTGGAGAGAGAGAAAGGAGGACAGATTAGCAGTTCTAGCAGCTCCGGGGGGGGGGGGGCGTGTGTTTGAGGAGGAGAGCAGGTGGGGGGAATTGCTGCCTGACCGGAGAGTCTGAGCATAGCGGCTCAGAGACGGATCACGCCGTTAATTTCAAAAAGGAAAAGGAAACGATAAAAGGAAGCCTTTCTCAGAGATGACACATTAAAGAAAATTTCCCACAGTATCTAACCCATAGGCGTAACTTCCTTAAGGACTGGTGTGGACATGTCCCCACCTATCTTGACCGGTAGGGGGACAGTCCCCACCAATATTTTGTACACGTATTTTGCTTTCGGTGCTGTGTATATCTGATTAAAACCCCATTCATGCCGCTCCTCAGAAAGAAAATAAAAAAAGTTCTCCCCGCTGCTCACCGTCCACAAACCCCGACAAAAAACTCAGAAAAAAGAATCTGTTGCCTCTCGCTTTCTCCCCATCACCCCCCTCCGCCCTCTCCCCATAACACCTGTCGCTTCCCTCCAACAATGCTAACCCATTCAGGGACAGGAGTGGACTCAATCAGACTTGCAGGTGAGAGGGACTTGTGGAAATATTAAGACCTAATTTTAGTCAGGAGAGACTTAAAGTAGTAAAAGAATAGAGAATATTGTAAAAATAAGTTAATACCGTATTTAAAATATAACTGAGCCGTTTGAAAAAAAACTCAAACCACTCTTTTCCGGCCCTGTTATGTCAGCTACACTAGAGTCCTGCAACGGGTCGGGTACCCGCGAAAAATTCATAAATAAAAACAAACGGGTCGGGCGGATATTTGTTTAGTGCGGGCGGGTAGGTGGTGATTTTTTTTTATGCGTGTGTGTTGTTATGGACATCAGAAATGTTATATTAATCAGGCACTGGGTGCAGCGCAGCGTCCAATAGCCTATGATGGGTTAACGGGTCGGGTTGCGGGTTCAATATCGTCGGGTCGGGTTCGGATTTGAATTGAAGATATCCGCGGGTCGGGTTCGGTCGTCATCCTAACGGGTTCGGGCGGGTGCGGGTTGGTAAAACTCGACCCATGCAGGTCTCTAAGCTACACTACATTCAGTATCGTTGCCATAGAAACAGACAACAGCGCCAATATATCAGAATTATACTAAAACACACGCAAATAATTTCCCACATAAAATCAGGACTTTCAGTCCATTACAGTTTTCCGTTTTTAGAGGGTTGTTTATGTTGCGTTTATTAAAGGCACACTATGCAACATTTTTCAGTTAATTAATGTGTTCCATAACGTTTTGGATGATTAAATGAGTCATTTCAGGTCGAACAAAGGTATTCTCGGCCGCCCTGGTGGTCTGTGGGGGAAATACTGCACTTGCAATTGCAGGAGCACCGACCCGCACCCACAGGCTCAGAAGTCTTGTGAGAGTCAGTCTTGCTTTACGGCCGAGAACTGCTACACTCCGCCAGTTAAAAGCATTCTTGTTGCTAGCACAGTGGCGATCCTTGTGCAGTTATGCTACGTTCACGCAGCAAAAGCAGCAAAATCGTGTCTGCTGCTTCATTTTTGCTGCTTGTACCAGTTAGTTCTGACGCGCAGCTGAAGCCAGCTTTGCTGCTCTGGCTGCGCGGTGCAAAAGTGTGTCTGACGCGCGTTGGGCGGAGCTTCACTATCCTTTCTCTGCCTTGCAGCTATATTTGCTGTGATCATTTGGAATAAAGTAGCTTTAATGTGTTTAAATGAGAAAATACACCTGAAAACGTAATCAGTGCCGTCAGTTCATCCAGATTATTATCCTGCCTTCAATATTTTTTCTGTCGGAGCCGCTCAGACCCCCACATACCAGCGGTGCGCCGACAGAAGGAACCCCTTCATCAGCAGCCTCTGGCCAGGTCACGTCCTTGCGGTTCACCGCGGCAGCTGGTAGGTGTTTTTCATCTAAATAATCCAAACTGCATATTCTGCCGGCAGATTTCTGCATTTTAAGTTAATTTAGGCATCAATAAACTGTTTAAGAGGAGTGATCATAGCCTCTGATCATCAGCGCTGTGTCTCTCTCCCTGCTTCAGCTGCTCAGACGCGCTGGGCCTGCTGCTCCTTTGCTGCGCCTTGACGCGCGTCAACCATTGACTTTGCATGTAAACTTACTGCTTCTGTCGCGCCAGCTGCGGTGTGAACGCAGCATTAGTCATTCGTTGCGTTCGCCTGTCTGCTAAGCTCAAAACAACCGCGCCTGGCTTGACGGAGAAACCAGGAGAACAGCTGTGCATATTTACGACAGTGCACTTTTACTTTCGCCCTCTGGGGGGAGCCTCGCTGGAAAATCAACACCGGTTGCATAGTGTACCTTTAAGTGATGGCTGTGGTATATTAGCTTTCACTGCTATAAGCTTTCGCAGCAGTGATTGATTAATTTAAACACCTGCTCTACTGATGGTCTATCGGAGTTGGTGTTTAGGTTGAACATAAAGAACACCTTTTATTTCAAGCTTCTTGTAGCTACTGTTTTAATCCCGGCTTCACTTAAAACTTTTTCCTGACTTTGATAGTGTTGCCATTCAGTAGCAAGCACTGCGCCCCTTTTTCTTTTATATGTACATTTAAGATTTAGCGTGTTAAGTTGACAACTCATGAGCAAGCTGCTTTTTGCAATCTAGCAGGAAGGTAAGGATAGGATCTTGCAGGTGTGACGTCACTCTGCAGGGGGTCCAAAGATAAAAGATTTAAACAATTTTGGCATTGGAATTTCAGATTTAAGGGAGTTAGAAAGTTCACTTAGTAAAAGTGCAAATAATAAATGTGATTAGCGATTACTTTTAAGCTGGTTGAACATACTGCGACAGACTGGTGACCTGTCCAGGGTGATCCCACCTCTCACCCAGAACGTGGCTAGAGATATGCACCAGCACCTCCTGATCCCACTGAGGGATAAGGTTAAAGAAAATGGATGGTTGAACATAGTCCGCTCTCCCAGATTCTATCAAATCAGTAGTGATACCCTCAGGGGCGGATTTAGGAAATTTGGGGCCCTAGGCAAAGACAGGCAGGGGGCCCCCTGAGAAGAAAACCCATAAAACAGACCCATTCTACATATAGAGAAATGTTAATAGAATAGACATCCATTATCTGTTCTAGGTTTTGTCCCTCTCTTCTTGTCCCTTTTTCCTCTCCATTTATCAGAGTTCTGATGGCATTTTAGCCAAAGGATTTTTATCAAAAATATAATTAATGTGCACAAATAAGGATTAGTTGTATTAACCATACATGGAAACAGAGTTTTATGGGGCCCCCAGAACTTGGGGCCCTGGGCAACTGCCTAGTATTGCCTAATGGTAAATCCCCCCCTGGATACCCTGCTGGTGGATGTTCTTGACAGAAAGACGGAGTTGCTTAATCATATTCTGCTTAAGGTCCCATAAGATCTTGTCCGAGTCCTGGTTTAAAAGTAAATACATTTTAAAAAGTGACCCAAAATTGACTGTCAATAAATGTTCTACAAAATTGATATATTTATTTGATTTTTTTTATTTGTACTGTCTGTTTAGATTTATGTGATATTTTTTGCACAAAATATATAAGTGAATATTGTAACAGTTATGTTTTCAACTGTAAGCATTAAATTGATAAATGTTATTCACATTTTTTTTGGCTTTATCCTTTCCAACAAAAAAAAAGGCGTCGCGCAGGTAGCTCCCTTTCCTTATGAGCCGTCCCCACCAACTTTCAACACAAAGTTACACCCTTGATCTAACCTTTTCTACCTCTACGGAAGAGGGTTAGGGTCACTGAAAAAAATAAAATAAATTTAACTGATCTTTGAATTTTATTTTAGTTTAATAATTCTGACTTTCATCTCAGAATTCTGACTTTTTAATCTCAGAATTCTGGCTTTAATCTGAGAATTGTGGATCTTAATGTAGATGGTCTCCATGAAGGCAGAGATGTGCATCACTCAGCTTCAGTTCTTTGGGAGGAACAGGAACACATTGGTGGAAAATGATGGAATTAGGCGACTTTTTCCATCCCTGAGGGTCCCTGCTGATGCTGTTTGATTAATGGAAGAGAAGAAGGTCATTAAAACAAGAGAGCTAGTCTCTAAAACAGACATGGCTACGGCTGGATGCTAACGTGTTTGTTAGCTTTCAGAATACAGTCAGAATTCTGAGATTAAAGTCAGAATTCTGCCCTTTTCTGACTTTTTTCCCTTAATAAACTGAATATTTAAAAATCAGTTAACTTTTTGTATTTTTCAGTGGCCCTAATCCTCTTCCATATACCTCCCACAATGGAGCGGGTCAAAAAAGTTCAAAAAAGGCTGTATTTTGCCAGCCATGCTTGCTGTTCTCTTATGAAGTAGAGAAAATATCAACTAGGGCACTAAATCCAATAAACGGGATGAAAATATCCAACATAAAATACAGAAAGCTTTATGAAAGTTTTCCAAACTGCACAGAAAACCTAGTTATTGGAAATGGAAGAACCTGCTTGGTATTTTGCTCTCTGAGGTGAGCAGGCTGTCAGTGAACAGATTGTTGATCCAGGCCCTAACAAAGCTGTCAGCCGGCCTGCTTGGTTCTGGTTCCACAGGGAACAGAAAAAACTGTAGGTCCACCATCAATGCGTTCCCCAGAAACCAAACACTTTCACTTAAATGTTAGGAATGAAATCCAGTTGTGAGAAAACGCTGACAGAGTGTTTGGTTTCAGAGGAGGAAAAAGCAGAAGGAGAAGCCGGCCGCTGGCGCTGGACCAGAGGAAGAGGTTCTGACCGAGCCTGCAGCCGCCGACCGAGAGGATCTGGGTTCAGCAGCAGCGAGGAAGAGGAGGAGGAAGAAGAGGCAGCCTCCTAAAGCCCAGGCTTCAGTGGAAACCCAGAAGGTGAGGCGCTGTTCTCTCTGATGGTGGTCTGATCCAACAGAACCATCAGTGGACTTCTACCAGTTTTCCTCAGGGTGGCTCTCCTCTGCAGCGCGTCTCTGATGAAACAGAAGCCATCCTCTGGTTCTGGCTACCCTGGAACAATGGCGGCCATATCTGCTGTGATCAGCGGGTAGAAAGTAGTTAGAATCTATGTTGAAGTGAGAAAGTCCTCCTGAAAACATGGTCTGTGCAGTCAGTTCATCCAGATCACCGTAGAGTTCATTTAGGCGTTAATAAACTGTTTCAGAGGAGTGATCATAGCGCTCTGCATCAGCAGTGCTGCGTCGGACTCCCTGCCAGCTCCCAGATCAGCTTCTCTGATTGGTTGATCAGTTTTTCCAACTCCAGGATCTGCTGCTTGTGAAGCGCCTCAGATGCTCAGAAGCTCGTGAGGAGCGGCTTCAGCTGCTCCAAATGCGCTGCAGGACGTTTTTCTGCGCCTTGATGCGCGTCAACCGTTGAGTTTGCATGGAAACTAGCTGCTTCTGCTGCTTTAGGTGTGAACGTAACATTATATCAGGCTGAAATGGAGGAAAGTTTCTAGCTTCTTCTCTCATCTCTATGGATTCCACCTGTGAACAGAAGAGAATCTGAAAACAAGCTTTTTAATAAACTATTTAAACTAGTTTTATTCCTTGTGTCATTTTCTCTTCTAAGAAGCAAATGCAGATTTTAGTTGGAAGTTAATCTGCTAAATATATACGGAGGAAAAGTTCAATAACCAAACAGGAGCAGCTACAAAGAGATCCATATCTATTAGACTGCCTCTATAGACCTAGGACAGGTAGATTAGTCCACCCATCACTCCCAGTTCAGCTCCCAGTGCTTGTTCTGCTGGAGTCGGAGCATCTGGATGAAACCAGCTGGAAACCATGGAGTCTTCATCGGCAGGAGATGAAGAGCAGGAAAGGTCCGAGTCAACCAGTCGGCTCTGCTTCTGCTGGTTCTCATGTTCTCTGGATCTGCTGCTGTGTTCAAAGATACAACTATGGAGTCAATTTTATACCAATATTGTTTTTGTAAAAGGAAATAAGTAAAAAAAAAAGGGCAATTCAGAAACATTTAATAATAGAAAAGGTTTTGGAAGAAAATTTGCTGCTTTTTCCAGATCTTATTTTGATATTTATTTATTGTTCATATTTATTTTATTTTTTATTATTTTACAGATTCAAAATTTTTTGGGGTTTCTTTTTTTTCAAAAACAGTTTTACATGAAAGTATTATGGAGGATTTAAAATGTGGTGTTCTCATAGCTCAAACAAGCTAACTGCGTTCATCTTTGCTGTCAAGTAGCAGCAGCCTACGGCGACAGTGGGCCGCTGTGACAGCAAATCCCATAATGCCTTGCGGGGAGAGCTCTCTGTGCAAAGCATTCTGGGATATATCTGCCTCTTCTGAGGTCTTTCCTTATACACTTCGTAGACACTTTTTCTTTTATGACCGTCGGCCATTTTTAAAGAACCGCGGTGAGAAAGGTGAGCTTAATGACCGTCTGAAACCATAGCTCACCACAGATATACGCCTGAAAGTGCGCAGAAAAAGGTAGCTAACGGGACGAACATGCAGGACAGCCTTATGTAAACATATTACCAGAATGATTGACAGTTAGGAGGACCATTGATTGAGATGAACCACCCGGAAATCAAATATCCTCCTATATACCTTTAAGGTTTCCAGATCACACTGTGTTCACTAGTGCGCCGGGCTTTTCTCTGGAGTCAGGAGCGTTTGGATTATTGGGCTGGAAGTGGAGAGAAAGTGATCAATGCAATTTAAAAATGAAAAAAATCATTAAACGCAATTAAACCCAACGAAATAAAAAAAACTGAAAATATAAAATCTGAAAAACTCTGATAAATAAAAAGACATTTGTTCTATAAAAAAATAAATAAAACAAAATCTAACAAAAACCATTTTCTGTCAAATGTCTTTTTGTTCAAATGTTTATTTCAAAGTAATTTCAAGCTAGTATTTATTATTTCATTTCCATTTACAAATCTTGTTCTTTGCAACAATAATGGAACAAAAATGACTCCATAAGATCTTCCAGATTTCTCCACCTTCTCGGTGATTCCTTTTAGCTCCATAGACCCTCTCAGATGATTGAACCCAGCCCCCCCCCCAGCAGACAGATAGACCATCTAACAGCTCAGCAGGAGCTCCTTAGAGGCAGAGAGGGAACCAGGACCCTCTGATCTTCAGGAACTTCTGGTCTTCAGGACCTTCTGATCTTCAGGACCTTCTGGTCTTCAGGTCCTTCTGGTCTTCAGGACCTTCTGGTCTTCAGGTCCTTCTGGTCTTCAGGACCTTCTGGTCTTCAGGACCTTCTGGTGTTCAGGAACTTCTGGTCTTCAGGACCTTCTGGTCTTCAGGTCCTTCTGGTCTTCAGGACCTTCTGGTCTTCAGTACCTTCTGGTCTTCAGGACCTTCTGGTCTTCAGGACCTTCTGATCTTCAGGACCTTCTGGTCTTCAGGTCCTTCTGGTCTTCAGGACCTTCTGGTCTTCAGGAACTTCTGGTCTTCAGGAACTTCTGGTCTTCAGGACCTTCTGGTCTTCAGGAACTTCTGGTCTTCAGGACCTTCTGGTCTTCAGGACCTTCTGGTCTTCAGGTCCTTCTGGTCTTCAGGACCTTCTGATCTTCAGGAACTTCTGGTCTTCAGGAACTTCTGGTCTTCAGGACCTTCTGATCTTCAGGACCTTCTGGTCTTCAGGACCTTCTGGTCTTCAGGACCTTCTGATCTTCAGGACCTTCTGGTCTTCAGGACCTTCTGATCTTCCGGACCTTCTGGTCTTCAGGTCCTTCTGGTCTTCAGGAACTTCTGGTCTTCAGGACCTTCTGGTCTTCAGGAACTTCTGGTCTTCAGGACCTTCTGGTCTTCAGGACCTTCTGGTCTTCAGGACCTTCTGATCTTCAGGACCTTCTGGTCTTCAGGACCTTCTGATCTTCCGGACCTTCTGGTCTTCAGGTCCTTCTGGTCTTCAGGAACTTCTGGTCTTCAGGACCTTCTGGTCTTCAGGAACTTCTGGTCTTCAGGACCTTCTGGTCTTCAGGACCTTCTGGTCTTCAGGTCCTTCTGGTCTTCAGGACCTTCTGATCTTCAGGAACTTCTGGTCTTCAGGAACTTCTGGTCTTCAGGACCTTCTGATCTTCAGGAACTTCTGATCTTCAGGACCTTCTGGTCTTCAGGACCTTCTGGTCTTCAGGACCTTCTGATCTTCAGGACCTTCTGGTCTTCAGGACCTTCTGATCTTCCGGACCTTCTGGTCTTCAGGTCCTTCTGGTCTTCAGGACCTTCTGATCTTTAGGTTCTTCTGGTCTTCAGGTTCTTCTGGTCTTCAGAGGTTTTCTTCTGACCTTTGCTCCTCCAGGTTAATCTGAGAGTTTATTTGCTTCACATTTTTATTTTGTTTTTTAATAAAATCTTTAGGAGCTTCTGGGTGGGATCTTTGGTGGATCTTCTCACCTCAGAGCTCCATGATCCTCCTAAAGGGTTCTGCTGGGTCGAACCGGGCCGATAATCTAGACAATCTAAACTGGACCGGATCCGGACCGGTTCCGGTAGCTCGCCTAAATGGACCCTCGCTCTTTAAACTGCCAAGTGTCAATGCGCGCCCCCGTCATCGTGAGATGGGTTTCCACATGCACGCGCAGCTGACTGGTCCCGGAGCGCAGCGGCGGCAGCAGCAGCGATGCGGGCTGCAGCAGCGGAGGCGTCCGGCCCGCAGAGCGGTTCGGTTCGGGTCGCGGCTCCGGAGCATCCCGGCAGGAAGCCGCAGGACGCGGAGGAGGATGCTGGGAGCTCCAGTTCGGACGGACTGAGGTGGAGCGAAGGTTCGGCTGCAGAGCGCCCTCTGCGGAGGTTCACCTGGAGCCAGCAGCCCGGCAGAACCTCCGGGGCCTTCAGCGTGAGTAACGATGCTGGACCGGTTCCGAGCAGATGGACCGAACCGCTGCTGCGCCTCACTGCGGCTCAGGTGTGGCTGCTGCAGAGGAGCCTCTGCCGCTGGTTCTGACCCACTTCCTCTCATCAGCTCCGGTTCTGCTGTCTGACCCAAAAGGCTCTGAGCTGCTTCTCTGGTTCAGGTCCAGTTGGTTCTAGTCGTGTTACCGAGTCTGCAGAACTTTTTCTATAACTGTAAATGATGATTGGATCCAAACCCGGTTAGCTGAGGTAGAACCTCAGAACCTTTTTCTCTTCATTCAGAGTTCCAGAACCGGAACCAGACATCGGAGGAAATATCCAAATCATCCACTGAGATGAGAGAATGATCCAGAACCAGAACATCAGAACATGTCAGGAGTCTCAGGTTCTGTGAGGAAGCCGGGTCGTTTGGACCGGACCGAGTTCTATGAAATTCTCCCCCCTCTGGTTAGAAGCAGGATCCTAGCTGATGGTTCTGATCCGGTAGAGCTCCAGGCCACCTTCAGAGGAGCAAACCAAGTCCAAACGGCCTCCTGCTGGTTCCTCAGTGTTGGTTCCAAACGGGCCGAACCATTTGGACGGGTCGGTGACCCCATGATGTACTGAGTAAACATCTTCACTTTCACCAGAGAACCAGCTCAGAACCGACCCGGTTCAAGAGCTGCAGCAGAGCCAAAGAATCCAGAACCAGAGGGCGGTCGGTGCCGGTCATCCCTGCAGAGAGCATCCTGTCTGCTGGTTGATGACTCAGCAGAAGAGAAGCTGCATCAGCAGCAGAACCGGAGCGGCTCGGTCCCCCAGGATCTGGACCGCAGCTCGGTTCTGTTCTTAGATGCTGCTTAATAATCAGTGTGAACAGAAAGAATCAGTTTCTGCTGCGTTTCCTGATCCTGATCCTCTGACCTTCAGACCGTCTGAAGGTTCCTGTTCTGTTAGAACCGAGATTTACTTCAACAGACCCAGAAAAACACAGAAGGTTCAGTAAATTAATAAAAGGGACAAAAATGTTAGGAAATAGAATTTAAAACATCAAT